ACCATGGTTCACATACTTTTTCTTGCCAATGTATAAAGGTGTTTAACTAACTATAGGTAGTTTTATTTATTTGTTTGTTTATTTATATTCAAGGGCAAACTGCCCTCAAATCCTCTGTGTATTCATCCCCTAAACTCTGTTTTCAGGACAGGTGTTAGATTGTCATCAGCCTTCATGAAATCTCTGAATTATCCATATATCTAGTTTACACAGATGAATATTCAGAAACAGACTGCTTTTCCTGTGTTTAATCAAATTACCCTTGTTTGACTTGAGTCAGACATGGATCTTCTATAGTTGTATATTATCTGTTTGCCTTTTTATTTTTCTCCTTGCATTTGATGTCATGTCCTAGGCTGGGGACAGAGTCAGAAGTTTCAGCTGTTATTTTACACAGTTTTTAATTATTAATCCAATTTGTGTTCCTTGATTTTGAATTTGTGTACATGATCTTATTACAATCAAAGAGCAGTTTTATCCTCAACAAGTGGTGTTTTCATGGTTTTCAGTGAGATATTGGGCTGCTGTCATGCTGTTCACACTACCATCTTAGTTGATCTCTGCCCAGTCATTGTAGCAGTCATGGAACCTTAGTTATGTCTATCTTCCATTCCAGTAAGAGCAAAGGAATGCTTATGAGTCCCACTGATTCGCTGCCTGTTGACCTATTTCATGCCATCAGTTGGACAACAGGAAGGCCAGAAACAGTCTGGGTTTTCTGTCTCTTCTTTCCACTTCCACCTTACTGAAAAACTGCATGCCACATTTCCTGGGTTCCAAAAGGGAAGGCAGATGAGTGGAAATGACAAATTCCCATGCAAAGCTTCTTTGCGATGGTATTGAAGCCAGTGCGTCATAGATGCCAACTCTGTGACCACCTGCAGTCATTAATTCATCATGACTCCACACCCATGACCTTCCTCTTCTGTAAATTAAAGACTCTATGCACTTTGTTCACAATGCACTCTATCACCTCTGTTAGCTGGCTGGCTGGGTGGCTGCTGTTAACTGACTGGTGCTGGACTAGGTCCAGCCACATGGCTGCTGTGATTTGAAAGCTTATCTTCATCAGACAGAAAGAAGCCAGCACAGTGATCTGGGTACAGACTTCCCCTGAGATAAAACAATACCATAGTATTACCAGAAGGATTCTATGCAATTCATTTAGATTCATTTAAAACCTAAAGTTTTTTTCAATCTTACATGTCACTTGCTAAGTTTGCTTAACACCAGTAACACTGAAAGCAATGTTTGTCAAAGTCCTCTAATCTTGATTTACCTATTTTAATTCACCCACTCCATTGATAGAAGCTTGATAAACAATTTAGCACACGAAATTAGTC